ATGAAATTAATCTCTTTAAAGTATATAAATCAATAGTTTTTAGTAAATTCACAGACTTGTGAAATCCCCACCACAATCAATTTTGAACCATTTTCATCAAAGGAAATCCTTTATCCATCATCAGTCCCTCCCCTTCTTCCCTCCCTGCAGCCCCTGACAACTGCTAATCCACTTTCTATTTCTATGGAATTTCTATTCTGGACATTTCATGTAAATAGAATCATACAATTTATGGTTGGTTTTATGTATCTGGCTTCTTTCACTTAGAGTAATGTTTTCAAGATTCATTCATGTTGTAGCATGTATCAGTACTTCATTTATTTTCATGGTCAAATACTAGTCCATATGGTTATATCATATATTGTTTATTCCTGAATCAACTGAGACTTTTGAGTTGTTTTGCCTTTTGGCTATTATAAATAATTCTTCTATGAAAACACTAATGTACATGTTTTTGTTGGATTATGTTTTCAATTCTCTTGAGTATATATATATATATATGTATACCTACGAGGGAAATTGCCAAGTCAGATGGGAACTCCATATTTAACCTTTTGAGAAATTGGTGGACTAATTCAAAAGTGCACCCCCATCAGCAATCCCACCAGCAATGTCTGAGGATTCTTTTTATTTTAAAATTGTAGTTGGACACAATACCTTTATTTTTATGTGGTGCTAAGGATCAAACCCAGTGCCTTGCACATTGCTAGGTGAGTGCTCTACCGCTGAGCCACAACCCCAGCCCCTGTCTGAGGATTCTCATTTCTCTACATTCTCTCTTTTTTTAAAGAATTTTAATATTTATTCTTTAGTTTTCGGCGGACACAACATCTTTGTTTGTATGTGGTGCTGAGGATCGAACCTGGGCCGCACGCATGCCAGGCGAGCGCGCCACCGCTTGAGCCACAACCCCAGCCCCTGTCTGAGGATTCTCATTTCTCTACATTCTCTTTTAATGCTCACTGTTGTCTGTCTTTTTATTTTAGCTATCTTAAAGGGTATGAATTTATTTTAGAAACTTTTAATTGGTGCATTATAATTATACATAATAGTGGAATTTTGTTGCATGTTCATACAGATGCATAATAAGTGGGTATAAATTCTGGTTATGGTTTTTATTTTGTCTCACTGATGACTATACTGAGCATCCTTTCATGTACTTATTGGCCATTTGTATATTCTCTTTGAAGAAATGTCTAATCAAGTCCTTTGCCCATATTTTTAAAATTGAGTTGTTTGTCCTGTTATTACTGTTGGGTTTAAGGAGTTCTCTCTATATGCCAGATATTAATTTCCTTATCAAATATTTGAAAATATTTCCACCTATTTTGTATATTATCTTTTCAATTTCTTGATGGTGTCTTTTGAGAGGCAAAAATTTTTAATTTTGTTGAAGTCCAATATCAAATGCCTTCTTTTGTTACTGTACTTTGGGTATCTTATCTATAAAATCATTGCCTAGTCACAAAAATTTAAACCTATGCTTTATTTTAGGAGTTTCGTAGTTTCAGCTCTTACATTTAGGTCTGTGCTTTATTCTGAGTTAACTTTTATGTGGTTAATGAGGTAAGAATCCAACTTCATTCTTTGCATGTGGATATACAGTTGTCCCAGCATCACTGGTTGAAAATCCTAAAAGGTAAAATTTAATAGAACAACAAAAGCTAAGACACAGAGGCATGAATGCCAGGAATAGTTGACTGGTTTTCCAGGAAGAGACAACGCAGGTGCAGCCACCTGGAGGCTGGAAGGTGCCTGATGAGTCTGAGAAACAAAGGAGACCAGGTGGCCATAGTTGGGTAGGAGGAGCTCAGTCTGAGGCCTGGGTTAGGAGCTTATGAACCATGATAAGAATTTGACTTCTACTCTGCACACGATAGAAATCTATTAGACGGGACTGGGACTGGGGCTGGGGCTCGGCGATAGAGCGCCTACCTAGCATGTGTGAGACCCTGGGTTCGATCTTCAGCACCACATAAAAAATAAATAAACAAAATAAAGGTATTGTGTACAACTGAAAAATAAATATATTTAAGAAGATATCTATTAGAGGATTTGTAATAGAAAGTGGCAAAAATTTTATTTATATTTTAAAGGCATTAATCTTTAAGGGGAGCAATCATTTTCAGAATAAAATGTGGAAGAACAAGGATAAAAAGAAGGAAATCAATTAGTTGACTTTATAATAATAATCCAGACATGAGATGATGACAATTTGAACTAGGATGATAGCAGTGAAGATGCTGAGAACTGGTTATATTCTGGATATATTTTGAGCTAGAACTGGCCAGATTTGAGGGCATTGAATACAGGATATGAGAGAAAGAAAGGAGTCAAAGATGACACTCCAAGATTTTTGTCTGAGCCACTAGGAGGAACAGTCCTTTACTTAGATGGACTACAGAAGAAGAATGTGACGGTGGCAGCAACGAGCAGGAGTTCCGTTTTGACCATGTTATGTTTGAGATCTTTATTAAATAATGAAGCAGAGATGTCAAGAATAAAGGATGGCATAAACCCTTTGAATGGCACCCAATCTGGGTAGCATGATGATGGAGATTCCTTAGAGAACTTGGAATGGAACCACCATTTGACCTAGTTATCCCACTCCTTGGTCTATAGTATGCTGACTTAAAATCAGCATATATAGTGACAAGCCACATTAATGTTTATAGCAGCTCAATTTACAATAGTTAAGCTATGGAACAAACCTAGGTGCCCTTCAACAGATGAATGGGTAAAGAAAATGCAGTACATACACACAATGGACTATTACTCAGCCATAAAGAAGAATGAAATTATGGCATTTGCTGGTAAATGGATGGAACTGGAGACTATCATGTTAAGTGAAATAAGCCAATCTCAAAAAAACCAAAGGCCAAATGTTCTCTCTGATACGCAGATGCTGACTCACAATAGATAGGGGCAGCGGGTAGTGGAGGTTCAGCAGATTGGACAGCAGGGAGTGGGGAGAAGGGAGGGGAGATGGGAATGGGAAAGATAGTAGAATGAATAGGAATTAACTTTCCTGTATTTATATAGGAATACATGACCAGTGTAACTCCACATCATGTACAACCATAAAAATGGGAAGTTATGCTCTATGTATGTATGATATGTCAAAATACATTCTACTGTCATGTATAACTAAAAAGAACAAATAAAGCATCTTAAAAACTGGGCCTTGGTTTTTTTGAGATTCTGTAGTCTTCTATTATTTTCTATGGCTTTTGCCTTTCAAAATATTTTTATTTTCTCTACTGGCAACCTCCCAAATTGTTAATATTGTTTTGCATTTTAGATGTATCTTATCAGATACATTTAGGTGTATCTTATCTTGCATTTAGGTGTATCTTATCAGATACATTTAGGTGTATCCTATTGCATTTAGGTGTATCTCAGAATTAAGGGTACACCAACTTTCATGAAACAATACATAATGATTCCCAGATTACTTCCTTATATTACAATGGAAAAAGAAAGATAATAGGTAATACATTTTGATTAATTTTCAAATGCCAATTCTGAAGTCATTCTCCAAATCTCTATTACTGCAGAACTGCAGATCATGTATGTTTGTGTATATCTAAATATATATATATATATATATTTGTATATTTAGGGATTTGCAAAAGTTGCAAAGAAATGTACAGGGAAGTTCTATCCACACACCCTTTTCACAACTTCCCCCAGTGTTAACATCTTACAAATATGGTACAATACCTTTAGAGCTTCTTCCCTTGTAGGGGTGTGTGTGTGTGTGTGTGTGTGTGTGTGTGTGTGAGCGCACATGCAGCTTGATGCAATTTTGTCACAATCATGTGTAACCTCTACTTCAGACAAGACACTTAACCCTACTATCATTCCAAGATTCTCTCATTTTATTCTTAATAGCCACATTCATTCCCCTCTTCTAAATCCCTAGAAACCCCACTAGTCTGTACTTAGCTCTATAATTACATTATTTCACTATTGTTACATAAATAAAATCATGCAGTATGTATCCTTTTGAGATTGACTTTAATAGTTCAGTCTAATTTCCTTGAGATCCATCCAAGTTGTTGTGTTTGTTAATAGTTCATTCCTTCTAATTGCTGAAAAGCATTCCATGGTATGGCTGTGCCATGGTTCTTTGTGTATCGTTCACACTTTAACAGACATTTAGGTAGTTTCCAATTTGGGGCTATTATGAAAAAAGCAGCCATGAACATCAGAGGACAAATGCATGAGTAAAAATAATTCTTCATTTCTCTGGGATACACACCTAAGACAGCAGCTGCTGAGTCCTATAGAAAAATCCATTAGTTTTAAAAGGAACACCCCAGTCTGGGGGTGTGGAACAGTGGTAGAGTGTTCAGCTAGCATGTGAACACTACTCTGTACTACAGAAAAAAGGAAGACCAAATCATATTCTAGTGTCAATTATTTTTAGTTTTAGAATTTAATTATGACTCAAACTCTAGAGGGATCTTTCACAGTTTACCTTTTCCCAGTGAGAGAAGTATCCTTCTGAAGTGTCCCATGGAGTCAAACGAACCTAGATTCAAGTCCTGCCTCATTCACTTATTATCTGAGTGAGCTTGAACATTTTTTTTTAGTCTCAGATTCCCTATTGGTAAAATACAGACAATAATGCCCTCCAACAGTAAGGACTGAACAAGATCAGCTGTAAATCCCTGAGAGTGAAGTGTTTGGTATGCAGTTGTGAGTTTATATTAGCTCTTTCCCCATTCATAGCAAAATAATCAAACATTACTTCCAGTTTTTATAATATTGGTAGTTATGAGTGACCTTAAAATCCAAAGAAACCATATTACTTTTATTCACATTATATTTTACTAAGTAAGTTACCTTTAGTAGTTTTATTATGCATGTTTCCTTGGTAAACTAGTTTCTCTTTATTCCTACCAAATATATTTACTGGAATAATCCTTATAAGTCTTGGAAGCAGAAATAAGTTGGTGTCTCTCCATTATATCCTATGTTTTTTTCTTTCTTCTAGGTCAGTAAACAATTTCCTGATGACTGGTCCAAAAGTAAGAAAAAATTCCTTTGATTAATAAGGACATCGCTAATCTTAATTGGTTGACAGAAGATGATACATGTGGCTTTCTTTTCATTATATGTATGCCTTTTATTATGAAGTAGTATATATTAAAGATAGAAAAACTGAGACTCAGAGAGGGTTGGGACATACCCCAAACCACCATAAATTAATATCAGAGCCCAGGCAGAAACAGGAGTACTGCTGGCTGTGGTGACATGCATCTGTAATTCCAGCTACTCAGAAGCTGAAGCAGGAAGAGCTCAAGTTTGAGGTCAGCCTGGACAACTTAGTGAGACTCTGTCTAAAAATTAAAAAAATAAATAAATATAAGGGCTGAGGTGTAGCTCAGTGGTAGAGTGCTTGTCTAGCAAGCATGAAGCCCTGGATTCAATCCTCAGTAACACAAAATTAGAGAAGTACCTTCTAAAGTGTCCCATAGAGTCAAACAAACAAACAAACAAACAAAAAACCCCAAAATTGTACTACGTGATCTCTACATGGAAGAACAATGCCAGTTCCAAAATGTTATTTTCTAAGATAATAATGGGATGAGAACAGCTGAAATTTCAGGAATTATGTGATTGGGACTCATTTTGGAGAGGCAATTTAGTATAATGAATAAAGACTAATGGAATTAGAATCTGATAAAACTGTGTTTCATTACTTTCTGCCGTTTGCTACTTGGGAAAATTACCTCCCCTCTCTGAACCTCAGTTTCCTAAGTTATAAAATGACACCTATTTCACAAGACTACTGGTAATGTTAAATGAGATGATATATTTAAAGTACTTGCTTTGCCAGTATTTTGGAGGGATGGGGGAATGGGCATGAAGAGAGGTGCTTGGCAAGTTTGGGGCAAATGCCTCCTGAATTCAGACTGAACTTTGACCTCCCCCGTCATATTCCTGTAGGCTTACCTGATCTACTCCAGCAGTGTGGCAGCAGGTGCTCAGAGTGGTATTGAAGAATGCAAATACCAGTTTGCCTGGGACCGCTGGAACTGCCCTGAGAGAGCCTTGCAACTTTCCAGCCATGGTGGACTTCGAAGTGGTAAGGAAAGCCTTGGGCACGGCTCCCCAGGCCTCTAGTTCCAGGGTAAAGCCTCAGGGATGGCCCCCTTTCTCCTCTATACCATATTCTTCACCTGGTCTCTTAGGACATTTCTCTCTTGTGAGATATTCTCTTTTCTTTCTCCATCTCTCTTTCCTATCTATGGAGCTTTCTCCTTTCTTCCCCAACATGCTCACTGTTCAATTAACGGACATTGCCTCACCTCCAATCCTATACATCCTTGATTGCTAAAGGTTTCTTCACAACATAAGCAGCATCAGCATCAGAAGGCAGGTCAGGGTCATAATTCCTCATATCCCTTAGCCCCTTCCTTCGGTAGACTCAGCAGAGAGATATTGAGCAAGTGGAAACTTGAAGACTAGATTCTCAGAAAGAATATAAATAGTGGTCATGCCGGTAAATGAAAGAGCTGCCATCTCAATTCACAATAGCCAAACTGTGGAACCAACTTAGATGCCCTTCAACAAATGAATGGATAAAGAAAATGTGGTACATATACACAATGGATTATTACTCAGCCTTAAAGAAGCATGAAATTATGGCATTTGTAGTTTTTCTAGGAAATATGTGGCCTCATGACATGTTAAAGCAGATTGTCCTGCATATTTTCAGTGTTGTTATTGACACTTCCTTTTGATCCTTTCAGAGCAAGTTGTTAATGAACACCAATTTTTTTCTTTTTCTTTCTTTCTTTTTTTTTTTTTTTTTTTTTTGGTACCAGGGATTGCACTTAGGGGCACTTGACCACTGAACCACATCCCCAGCCCTATTTTGTATTTTATTTAGAGACAGGGTCTCACTGAGTTGCTTAGTGCCTCAATTTTTGCTGAGGCTAACTTTGAATTTGCAATTCTCCTGCCTCAGCCTCCCAAGCCACTGGGATTATAGGAGTACACCACTGTGCCCGGCATGAACACTAATTTTTAAATAAATATTAAAATATTGTTTGAAAAAAGAAAGAGCTGCCAATCAGATATTCTGCTCTTAGACTCCAATGTTCAAGAAGGAGGTAGGGAAGGGTTCTTTACAACCTGGCCTTCAAATTCATTTCCTTCCCCATTTCTTCCTCAGGGTCTTCCCCACCTAAATCCTTTATAATCATGTATATTGACAACAATCTAGTCACCTTCTCATAAAAAGATGGAAGGGGAGAAGAGTAGGGCTAAGGCCAGGAATGGAGCAGACCCTGGAAGTGAGTAAGGTACATCATGAAGTGGGTATAGGACCAAGCTGGGAAAGGCAAGTATGACGGTGGTATTAAAAGAAAGTAACATAACCGGTGTTTCTTTTAACTGCAACCTCTGCCTCTAACTCTCTAGATGTTTTTTATTCCTGCCAGCTAATCGGGAGACAGCATTTGTACATGCCATCAGTTCTGCTGGAGTCATGTACACTCTGACCAGAAACTGCAGCCTTGGAGATTTTGACAACTGTGGATGTGATGACTCCCGCAATGGGCAACTGGGTGAGTATCAATGAGATACGTAGTTCAGGCCAGGGAAGTTCACTTAAAGAATGAAAAGGTTGGTGGGATAAAGTTACATTTTTCTTTTCTTTTTCTTAAAGAGAGAGTGAGAGAGACAGGGAGGGGGAGAGAGAGAGAATTTTTTTAATATTTATTTTTGAGTTTTCGGCAGACACAACATCTTTGTTTGTATGTGGTGCTGAGGATCGAACCCTCGGCCGCATGCATGCCAGGCGAGCGCACTACCGCTTGAGCCACATCCCCAGCTCAACATTTTTCTAATACAAGGAAAATCATGCTGACGATGGGTGACCCAGTTTGAGCACAAACCCTACAGTGACAAACACAGTTAAATGTTGCTTGGGACCCTCTTCTCCCACTGATTGATTTCCTTAATTTAAACAGATAATGATGGTGGTGATGATGATGAAACAACTTGCTCTATAGACTCAAATCACCTTCTTCTTGAATGCAGGAGGACTTTCTTTTATTTTGTCTATCCTGCTCTACTCTCCACTCTGCCTCCACTGCAGCCGCTAATCCTCTGTGTCCACCCAATCAATTTCCAACTTCGTTTTTCCATATTATTTCAATTGCACCTCTTTTCCTCCCTCAGCCTTGAGCTCTCCTCACCTTTGCACACAATTTTACCCCTTGAGGACCTCAATCACTGACAGACATGGTGCTTACTTTGCCTACTGAGTAGAGGCAGAGGAGATCCCAGGCAGAGAATCAGTCCACTAGACAGCCACAAATGTCATGGAGCCCTGTGCAGGGAATTGGCTGGGGCTGGAAGTGGGACCGCAAAGGTGGCAAAAACAAACCTTCTAGACTGAAACTAATCCCAACACAGGGCACTAGCCTAACCTTAATCTTTTCCTATCCCAGACAGTGACCCCTGCCACCCCCTCCCCCCAAGTCCAATTAGAAACAGCAGCCCTGGAAACTCTGCGTTGGCCTGCTCAATGACCTTTCCCCCCTGCACTTTTCCAGGGGGTCAAGGTTGGCTGTGGGGAGGCTGCAGCGACAACGTGGGCTTCGGAGAGGCAATCTCCAAGCAGTTTGTGGATGCCCTGGAAACAGGACAGGATGCCCGGGCAGCCATGAATCTTCATAATAACGAGGCCGGCCGTAAGGTGAGTGTCACAGACCCTGGGACTAAGCAGCTAGTACAAACCACTACCAGCCCTCGGTATGGACAATTCTTCATTCAAATACTAATGGGCTGGATGAGCAGACTAGCTGGGCGCCTCGCAATCCCTCCAGGGCAGGGCTTTTACTCCACTCTCTCCCTAGGCGGTGAAGGGCACCATGAAACGCACGTGTAAGTGCCACGGCGTGTCTGGCAGCTGCACCACACAGACCTGCTGGCTGCAGCTGCCTGAGTTCCGCGAGGTGGGCGCGCACCTGAAGGAGAAGTACCACGCCGCTCTCAAGGTGGACCTACTGCAGGGTGCTGGCAACAGCGCTGCCGGCCGCGGCGCCATCGCCGACACCTTCCGCTCCATCTCCACCAGGGAGCTGGTGCACCTGGAGGACTCCCCAGACTACTGCTTGGAGAACAAGACGCTAGGGCTGCTGGGCACTGAAGGCCGGGAATGCCTGCGGCGCGGGCGGGCTCTGGGCCGCTGGGAGCGCCGCAGCTGCCGCCGTCTGTGCGGGGATTGTGGGCTGGCGGTGGAGGAGCGCCGCGCGGAAACCGTGTCCAGCTGTAACTGCAAGTTCCACTGGTGCTGTGCTGTCCGCTGTGAGCAGTGCCGCCGGCGGGTCACCAAGTACTTCTGTAGCCGCGCAGAGCGGCCGCGGGGAGGCGCTGCGCACAAACCCGGGAGAAAACCCTAAGGGTCTCCTCTCCTGCCTCCTTTCCCAATTTGTCCTTGGCTTCGTTTAGCGACCCCAGTAATAGAGGAACCTAGGAATTGGGGACCCCGCACTCCCCAAGTCCAGAGATCCTGAGAGGGAGAGGATGCAATCTTTCTGGAGCTTGCCACTTCCCTAACGTTTCCCCAATTTCTCTGTGCTCTCCTAGAATTGGTTCTGCGTCTCCTCACAGCCCACACTTTGGTGTGAGACCTGTTCTAAGACTGCGCTATTGGTCTTCCTTGGACTAGGGTGAAAATAGGCGCTCCTCCCTGACCCCACCTCCCAACTGGCCTAAGCCTGACTAAGACTTGGGAACTAGAAGGACCCTTCTCAGATATGGAGGGCTCAGGTAAAGCCATGTCTTTTTCTCTTGCCCATTGTCTGCTACCAAGCCCGATGGCAGGGGCATTCCCTTCCTGCAGAGCCCTTCCCGATCTTGCAACTTCCTGTTATTGACCCAGATACTCCCAGGAATCTCTAACACTTTCTCTTTCCTTCCCCTTTTCCCCTTCCTCTGAAAAGAAAAGAAAAAAAAAATTGACCTGGGAATAAATGTACCTTAGGGATTGGTCCCTAGAGGAAGAAGTAGAATATGGTGTAAAAGGGAACTTGACTTGCTAAACACCAGGGTGGTACTTCTTGTGACACCATGTCACCAATGGACTTTACCAGTGAGGTAACTATCTTCCTAGATGATCACTCAAGGTACTCCAGAATTATACCCAAGAGGTCAAGAAACTATGTAAACACAGATTACTATTATTTCCTTCCCTTCAAAGTTATCTTCTCCCTGCTCCTAACCTATTTCTTCCCAGAAAACAACTTCACCTTTTTTCCTTTCCAAAGCTTTGTTCCTCTGAGCCAAAACTGAGGTAAATAAAGGCAATTTCCCACTCGGACCCTGTCTGCACCTCTAAAGGCAGGCCATAGGAAGAAGCAGAGCCCCTTCCTTTCACTCACCTGGTTCTCCAACAGGCAGAGTTCAGGGCATTGGATACTTTCCTTCAATAAGTAAACTTCCTGCAATGAAACTGTTGCTAATAGGAAGTTCAGCACCTTGAACTTTAATTTATTGCAATCATTATGATATGTGCCTCATTTCCTGGGTACTGAGCTTCTTCCTGGGGATACTGGGGTAGGGTGGGGTAGAAGATATAACTTTGAGACTCTTATTTTCTTCCCACCGTGGTAGGATACTGTTTTCCCTAGAAACTTGCTTCCTTGATAGCCTAAGTAGCTAGCCTGACTTGATTGAGGCTAATCTTTTGAGGATTAGTAAATCATCCACATAAACCTTCCACTAATACAGTCACTCCATAGCCAAAAGCTTGCTGCTTGTGGTACTTGAGTCTTTTTGGTTCCATTTTCAGAGAGAAGCATTCCACATGAACTTGTTTATGAAACAGAGCTCTTGGGAATGAAGAGCCAATTCCTTACAGACCTTCTGCAGCCCCAAGAGCTTCCCAGCCTGCTTCCTTGCCCTGGGCCAGTCCTGGGTCTGGACACCAGGCAGCTCTTCCAGAGTAGAACTGGTCATATGCTAGACTTATCCCTTTTCTTCCAAAGTAGGAAAAAGTACAGAGGTCACAAAATCCAAGGCACTGGAAAAATAGAAGGGCTCTTATACTCCAAAGTGAGACAGTGGCCAAATCAGACCCAGGCCCTAGTCTCACCCCTACATCTTCTGGTCTGACTAATACTTACTGGAAGAGAGGTTCCCTTTCCTCCTTACCAGGGGGATACACTTCCCTTCAGGGTTTCTTAATGCTTAATTTCCAGCTTTATCAGCAAAAGGCCCTTTGCTTGTTTTCTCAGCTCTTGGGCCTCCTGAGTCTCCCAAGCCACTCTTCTTTTCTAATCAAGCAGCAGCATATACTAACCTAGTTGTCTCATTTGGCAGAGTTACTTGATAGGAAGAAAATCTGGCAAGGCGACTAGAAAATATAAAAGTAAATGTTGTAAAGTAAAGCTGTACTCTCCCAGAGGTCTCCCAACATAAGAGAACTATTGTGCTTCAAATTGGTGACAACAGGTCAGCACTCCAAACATGTTATGCTGCCAGGAAGTTCTTTCATAGGTTATTGTTTTGTATCCCCAAATAGATATGATTGATACCAGAATGATTTGAGTTTTATAAAGAAAACATTGTTGAGCTACCTTAGATCTGCATTGCTTTTTTTTAACCCCTTTTTCATTATTAATTAATTCATTCACTCAGTCAACACTGGTGCACTCATGGGTTCCTGTCTTACACTAATTGCCAGGGCTGTGTTCCCCTTAACAAACATAGGCAATTCCAGAACTGTTGCTTAGGAAGACAACTCTGAGGTCAGCTAAACCTTTTGTTTTACAGACTTAGACTGATGCTGAGAAAGATGACTGGCTTGTAAGTCACTGTAGGGTGAGTACTGGAACCCAGGCCCCTTCCTTCCTCTTGTGGGCTCTTTAGGAGCCCATCTGTCTCAGCTTGAGGACAGAAGCAGAGGGAGGTCCTAAGAAGTGACAAGAACACTGACTGGGTAGGGTGGGCAAAACACTGTCTCTTTCCTGTCCCTGGCCTGTAAGCCTACACACAGGCAGAGCTTTCTTTTCTTGAAAAGAATCCCAGCCTCAACTGGCCTTAGCAGCAGGTCAGGGCAAAGACAGACAGGGTCATACTCAGTGTGCTGGTGGTGCTGGTGGTGGTGGGAGGGGAGGGCAGTCCAGGGCACTTGCCTATTGTGGGTCTGGATTGGATGCTTCCACTCATTCATTTCCTTTTAATTAACCCGCATTCCTGGAGGAGAAATATTTATGTTGGCTCCCATAGAGGCAATCCTTAGACTGGAAAGAAGGGGAAAGAAAGCCTGTCTTAGCAAAACAATATCTCTAAAGAGCTCCAGAAGAGAAAATAGGGGAACAAAATGCCATTAAAATAGCCTTCTACCCCCACCAGAGTCAATGAAAACTTCATTTCACATGTTAATCCGCTACTCCGCCCCCTTCTCTTCTCACAACACCTTTTCCGAAAGTGTTTGGGAAAAGTCTTCGCAGTCAGTACACAGCTCCCTGCAGCTCAGACTTCTCCTTGTGTTAGTTCAGGGCCCCAAGTGGGGCTCTCGCTCCAACAGCGGCTTTTTTCTCCCCCCCTTTAATTTAAACAAAGACTTCAGAGTTCATCAACCTCCCACTGAAATTCACAGCTGCTGAACAAACTAATCCCCTCTCCCAGCCTTTCTTCCCTTCAATGGGCTCTTGGCTTCAAAGACACTTTGGGAAAGGACTTTGCTGGGGCTCACACTGCTTCATCAATAGAAGTTAGTGCAAGTATTATCTGAAGAGCAAGTGGCTTTACAAACAAATACTGCCTAACAATCCCTCCCTCCCAAACACACACATCTAGCCTGCAGACATGATGGGATCGACAACAGGATTAGAGCTAGTACCCCCTGGCTTCACACCCAGTCCTTTTGTGCAGCTGAGCTCAGCCCTCAAGTGGTGTGGGGAAAACCCTGGAGCTGAATGTCAGGCACGGATGGAGACACACACACACATCACGGCAGTTTGGCCAGCAAGTCCATGGGACTGGACTTGAAATCAAGATCCTTTCTTCAACTCTCGACTTCATATTTCTCTCCAAGACTTTCACTTGATTATTAGGATATAGGGAGCAAGAAGAGAAAGGACTCAAAAGAGAGGTAATGGCAAAATAGGTCCCAGAGGAGACAATAATTGGGAGATCACTGAGCAAACCAAATCAAAGCAGCTTTATTGCATTATTAAATATATCATACATCAAATGCAGAATTCCTACCATGAAAATGCAGCCAGAGAAGGAAGCCCTGAGATATATGGTGGCTGAGGGGAAGAAGAATCCCAACCCTTGAGGAGCAGGGCTAGAAGACATCTTTTGTTAATATGGTTCCTATTCCAGAATAGGGCTTATAATCACAGAATGAATAGCTTAAGTCCTTGGGCCAGGCTCAAATGTGGAGTTGAAGACCATTCCTTTGTAGGCTGTTGTCCCTCTGCTCCTATCTCATAGCCTAAGATAGCTCCCAGCAAAAGGCAGTTCACCCCTTCTGCCTGCTCCTTAACTTTGCTTACCCTTAAAAAATGCTGGCACATGACAGGTTCCATTTTTAAAAGACTAGAACTTCCTCTCTTGGTTCTGTTCAACTGCAAACCCTCATGTCTATGACTTGTTTGAATGGTAAACAGCACCCAACTTGTCCCCAGCTGCTGGGGCTACAAGGGAATATGGATCTGGAAATATAAAATCAGAGGCAAGGAGAAGGTAAGGTCAGGCTCACAAACCTCAGAAGGGAAAAACAAAAGATTCCCAAGATAGGTCACAGTAGAGGTAGAATTGGAAGTAATGACCCTGTTCACCCTATCACAAGCCACTCGAACAGAATATCCCTGGGGGAGAAGACCTCATGGCCTAGGTCCTGTCAGAAAACTATATTAGGGAAAGTAAGACCTGGCTCTATGTCCTGCCTCCAGCGCTGAGTGTTTTGGATAGACAGGAGGTGGTCAGGCATAAAGGGGTAAAAAAAAACAAAACAGGAACTCAGATGGTTTGGAGCCAAGTCCACAGCATCATATACCTGGCAGCAAGGGAAGAAAGTGGGGAAAAACAAACAGAATCTGTTGCACAATTTTTCTTCTCTGCGGGGCGGGGGGGTAGTTAAGTAATACAGAAGTGGCCTCTTGGCAAGAGAGGCTGACTGGCTTAGCCCTGCAGCTTGTGTGCAATGGTGAGGACAGCCTTCAGGATAGGCATGAAGCTGGACACTTCGCTGAAGCTGCTATAGCCCACCACCTGGGCGTGCACTGCGAGGCCCTGCTCAAAGCTTCCTGCATCCACACATCGGGCAACTTCATGTAGCCCAGCCAGGACATGAGGTGAGAGCTGTGAAGGGATTGCCCTTAGGTTAATAAATTCAACCAGCCCCACCCTGGCAGCCTGAAAGAGATAAGACAGCCTCAAGTTCCAGAGCCCCATCTCTTCCCATTCAGGAAATATGTGGGTATTTGAGGTGGGGGAGCAGTCTTTCCTATGGAAAAGAAGACTCTGGGCTTCCTTTGCTCATGGAAGGTAGTGGGAGGGCATGAGGCAGAGGGAACACAGGTAGATACTCACCGTCCCCTCACAGAGTTTCTCATATAGACCTTCTAGACGTTGGGCAGCCTCATCCAGCTTCCTTTTTGTCTTCTGTAGGGAGGCAAATGGCTTTTGACCCAGCCCATAAGCTTAACACAGGGCTATAAAGAATCCACTACATTAAAGCTAGAATGACTTAGTACTATTTCCTTCATTTCACAGAGGAGGAAATGAAAACCCAAAGATAGTAATGTCTTGCTTAAGCTGATATAGCTAGGAAATGAACGGCACTTGTTCTTCCTGCTGGCTTCCCCCTTCTTCTGTATACCCCATTGCCTATAAGTCTCCATGCTGTTGGGTCCTGCTACCATGGAGCTAGACTTTGGACCAGACTCCAAGTCCCTCCCCTACTCTGCATGAACTTCTAAAAAGTCTGAAATATGGTCAGCATATACAGGGATAGTGAAGGAACTGGTCTCCAGAGACATCCTGAAACCAGTTGAGAGTATGAAGAGGGCATCACAGGAAGGTTCAAACTTACTAAGTCAGTTGCAGAAAGGGAGCAGTGCTGGAGAAGTGCCTCAAAGCTGGTCTTCAAGGACTGATGCTCTGGGGGCAGTGCCTTTCTTTCTATCATCTTAGGAGGTGGTTGCTGACGTTGCTAATGAAGGAGTGAGGAGAAGGGACAGGCAAGAAAATTACCTTTCTCATGGTTTTCCTAAGGTCTCATCCTCAGTGACTCAGGGTCAGGCATACTGCTCCCATTAGAGTACAACAGAGCTGAGGAGAGAGCCCTCCATTCTCTATAGTAAGAACAGAGAATAGGTTTGCCTCTACCTTGAAAAATGATGCCCAGCTACATGCTCCCCACTTTTACTCCCAAGGAGGGCTGGAAGGCTTCCCAGAGCAGGGGAACAGTTGTCCCTGTTACCTGTAGGCTGAGTTCTCCTGGAGCTCCAGGGGGAGCATGATTCACACTGGAAATGGGGGTCTGTGATGGAAGGACCCGTTGTGGCTCAGGGATAAGGCTCCTAACTGGAGCAGTAATTGGTGCTAGAGGCATAAATACCTCCGGGAGCTAAAGAGAGAAAGAAAGGCACATGAATCTAAGCTGAGAAACCCTATAGGCCTTAGTTTTGGGGAATGGTAGACATATACTGAATTAAGGAAACAAGACAGTGAGTGGCAAAGTGGAAAAAGGGAGACTGGTGAATGTATATAGGAGGGAAAGAAGGTGGTGCTGAGGGGGAAGACTGGGAAAAGGGCAGAGGCAGCCCAAGAATGGGAAGAAATGGGTTGAATTCTATAAAGAACTAGAAAGTGGGCCACTGCTGAATATATGAGGGGGTGGATAAGGAACAATACATTGACCTTTTTCCTCTGGAGATTTCCTTGAGGGGTAGGAACATTTTTCCACGAATTTTGAGGTCCTGTAGAATAAAAAGATAGGAGTTTTTAGGGGCATGGTCAGGAACATTAGAAAGTTTTAGTCTGAAGACTAGGAAAATTATTTTAATTGGAATCTGTCACACCTCCCTTTGCAGACCAGCCACACTCCCAGCTAACAACCTCCAAACCAAAGGGCCCCAGTTCATTGGCTTGAGGGAAAAGACTCTGAGACAGTGGTAGGAGGGGAGGAAAAGGAGGCAACAGCCCACAAGGGGGAAGCCATGGAAGGAAAACTGACCTTGATGAGGGGTCAAGATGCTAGCACTTGAGAGAGAGCTAGAGCATGGAGCACCTGGCCCTCCGGGAGGGTAAGTTACAGGAGAGTAGGCAGGAGGGGCCAGGAGCTGGGAGCTCAGAGGGCTAGGACCTGGTGGTCTCACAGAAGGCAGAGGGAGTAGTCTAGGAGTCTCAGACAGAGAAGTAGAGCCAGGCACCATGATGTCTGGGGCTGCCATGAGTGGAGGAAGACCAGAAACAGGCCATGTTCCAGGGAATCTCACAGGGTTTGAGGGTGGAGCCCTTTGTCCTCCTAATAGTTGCAGCTGAGATAAAGCTGAAGTAGAACAGAAATAGGTAATTTGTCACCAAACTTCAATTTGGGAGAGATTCAGTATATCAGACAGGAATAGGTCAGCAACAAAATAAAACAAGCCAGGTATGGTGACACATGTTTGTGGTTCCAATTACTCAGAAGGCTGAGGCATGAGGATCACTTGAGCCCAGGAGTTAGAGGCTAGCCTAGGAACATAGCAAAATCCTGTCTCAAAAATTTCAAAATAGAACAAAAACCAAAACACCACAACTGACAATAATAATAAATGATTAATCCAAGTGTAAAGAGATCTTATAATTTATAAAGTACTTTAACTGTTCTCCTTATTTGACCCTCAAAATAATCTTATAGGATTGAAATCACCAGTATAACAAGTTTGGTATATTACCAAAATATACAAAGTCTTTAACATAAGAGAGAATGTTAAAAACTCAGTACGGGATAGGAATTTTGATTGCAACTCTGAAGCTCTTCTCTCAAAAAAAAAATTTTTTTTTTTAATTTTTAAACTAAAACAAACAAAACAAAACCAGATCCTCTCTAAACCGGACCAACATGAATTTGGGAGGGAATATGTCTGTCTTTCCTGAGACCTCCATTCTGTGCCCAAACAAATCTCCATTTACTCACCAGGCCTGACCCCAGGGCCCAAAGGCAAAGGCTGGATTGCCTGGGGTTCAGGTGTCCTGTAGTCACTTATAGTCTTCATCCTGGAGCTCTGACAGGGGATATGATAGGAGGGTGTCAAGGGCATTACTAGTGATGGCTGAAATGTGTCCGTAGGCCTTGAAGATGGACTTGGAACCTGTGAAGAGAAAAAAGGGTCAGCTCTTGAAAAGAAAAGAGATATGAGTAATTGAAATCAGAAAAACAATACAGAAAACTAATGAAATGAAAATTAATTATTTGAAAAATATTAATAAAATTTATACATCTCTATAAAGACTGATAAGATAAAGAGAGAAGACATTAGTCATCAATACCAGAGATGAAATAGAGAGCATTATAGCAGACCCTGAAGCTACTAAAAAAAATAATAAAGGAATACGCAAGTAACTTTAAATTCGTAAATTCAGTAACTTAAAAGAAATGGACCAATTCCTCAAGAACCACATGCAACGAAAATAGCCAAAACAAAAGATAAAAATAAATAGTCACATAATTACTAAAGAAATTGGATTTATAAGGGCTGGAGATATAGCTCAGTTGGTAGAGTGCTAGCCTAGTATGCACAAGGCCCTGGGTTCAATCCCTTGCACCACACAAAAAAAAAAAAAAAAAAGAAAGAAAGAAATTGCATTTATAATTTAAAAGTTCAATCCCCCACAAAGTATTCAAGGCCCAAATGTTTTCACTGGAGAATTTGACCAAGGGTTCAAATTAACATATAGTTTACATAAACTCTTCCAAGAAAATAGATAGAACAGTCCTATTTTTTTTTTTTTTTTTTTTTTTGTGGTGCTGGGGATTGAACCCATGGTCTTGTGCATGCAAGATAAGCACTCTACCAACTGAGCTATATCCCTAGCCCCACTAATTCATTTTATAAAACCAGCATTATTCTATACCAAACCCAGACAAAGACAGCACAAAATAAAACTACAGACCAATATTACTCACGAACTTAGATACAAAAATCCTTAACAAAATTTTATCTTTTTTTTTAATAAACTGAAATACATTATATAATTAATGAGGACCACATTCTTTTTTTTTAAAGAGAGTGAGAGAGAATTTTAATATTTATTTTTTAGTTTTCGGCGGACACAACATCTTTGTTTGTATGTGGTACTGAGGATCGAACCGGGGCCGCACGCATGCCAGGCGAGCGCACTACCACTTGAGCCACATCCCCAGCCCCCTTAACAAAATGTTAGCAAGTCAAATCCAACAATGTGTATAAAAATAACATTCTACAACCAAGACAGATTTATTCCAGTTCATGCAAGCCTGGTCTAACATATTTAAAAATCAATCAATGTAATCTACCATATCATCAAACTGAATAAAAATATTTTATATGTCATATAAAATGATGCAGAAAAAACATCTGACAAAATTCATTCATAATCTAGTACATAAGGTACTGTGATCCAAATGTATCCCCCAAAATCCATGTGTTGGAAATTCATGCAACATTGTTGGGAAGTGGGACATTTTGGAAGTGTTTATGCCACTATAAAACTGAGTTCAGAAGTAGGTGCACTCTCAATTGCTATCCTGCCTCTGTCATGTTAGGACCACTTTCCTCCACTCTGGAAGATGCAACAAGGTGCCATCTTGGAACCTGAGACCAAACCTGCTGGTGCCTTGATCCTGGACTTCCCAGCCTCCAAAACTATGAGAAATGAATTTCTATTCTTTATATATTGCCCAACCTCTCGTATTCTGTTTTAGTAGCACAAAATAGGCTAAAACACAAGGAATTGAGGCAAAATTCCCTGGCTTCAGAAAGAGAATTTACAAAAAACTTAAATCTAATATCATATTTAATGGTGAAATGTTGAATGTTTGCCCCTCTAAGACTGGAAACGAGGCAAGGATATTCACTTTCACTACTCTTATTTAGCATAGTACTGGAAGTCACAATCACTTCAATAAGGTAACAAATAAATTAAAGACATTCTGACTGGAAAGAAAGAAAACTGTCCCTATTTGTCCCTCTATGTAAACATGACTGTATATATACAAAATCACAAGGGATACACACACACACACACACACACACAAAACCAACCAACTTCTAGAACAACTAAGTAAATTCAGGAAAGTAACAAGATACACCACCAACACACAAAAATAAATTGCATTTCTATACACTGACAATGAATGAGTGGAAATCAAAATGAAAATTTGATTTCAAGCTCAAGAGAATATTAAATAGTTAAGCGTGAATTAGACAAAGAATAAGAATGATGAAAGTTGTAAAATACTGATGAAAAAGCATGTTCATGAACTGGAAAACTCATAGTAAGACGCTGTTTCTCCCTAAATTAATCTATAGTTTTAATGCAATTCCTATGACCAGGAATTAAGATGACCATCTTAACACAATTCTTTGTAGATAGAGATAAACTTATTCCAACATTTATGGGAAAAGGGAAAGGTTCTAAAATACCCAAAACAATTTTGAAAAAGAAAAATAAAGTGGGAGGAATTACTTTTCCCCACACCAAGACTTACTATATAATGGTAGTAATCAAGATAGAATGGTATTGACAGAGGGACAGACACAAAGATCAAGGGAACAAAACTGAGAAATAAATCCACACAAATATGCCTACTTAGTTTTTGACAAAGGAGCAAAATCAATTCAATGGAGAAGGGTCAGCCTTTACGGTAAATACTCTAGTGCAACTGAATATCCATTAGCCAAAAAAAAAGAATCTTGATCTAAATTTCATATGTTCTACAAAAAAATCAACTAAAAAAATTAAACATGAATGTAAATATAAAACAAAATGACAAACATAGAAAGAATATATGAGAAAACTGGGCTGGGGATATGGCTCAAGCGGTAGTGCACTCGCCTGGCATGCGTGCGGCCCGGGTTCGATCCTCAGCACCACATACAAACAAAAGATGTTGTGTCTGCCGAGAACTAAAAAATAAATATTAAAAATAAATTCTCTCTCTCTCTCTCGCTCTCTCTCCTTAAAAAAAAAAATTAAAAAAAAATATATGAGAAAACTCGGGGGACCTAAGACTAAGTAAAGAATTCTTAAACTTGACACCAAAAGCATGATCCATAGGTGGAAAACTTTATAGGCTGGACTTCATAAAATTAAAAACTTGCTCTGTGAAAGGTTCTTAAAAAGGTGAAAAGATAAATTATAGATTGAGATAAAATATTTGCAAATGACATATCCAACTAATCAATGACTCATATCTAGAATATATGTAGAACTCTTAAACCTCAACATTAAAAAACAAAACAATCCAAATAGAAATGTGATATATAGGGCTGGGGATGTGGCTCAAGTGGTAGTGCGCTCGCCTGGCATGCGTGTGGCCCGGGTTCGATCCTCAGCACCACATACAAACAAAGATGTTGTGTCTGCCGAAAACTAAAAAATAAATATTAAAAAATTAAAAAAAAAGAAATGTGACATATAGACATTTCACTGAGGATATATAGATGGCAAATATCTGAAAATATCAAAAACATTAGCCATTAGAGAAATTCAAATTAAAACCAAAATGAACTATCATCACCCATATATCAAAATGGCTGTTGAAAAACAATGATGATACCAAAGGCTAGTGGAGATACAGAGAAACTGGATCATTCTACCATTGCTGGTGAGAATGTAAAATGGTATGACCATTCTGGTAAATTGTTTGGCTATTACTTTCAAAACAAAAAATGAACTTATAATAGAATTCAGCTATTGTGTTCTTATATTCTGAGGCATTTATCCCAGTGAAATTAAGACTTATTTTCATTCAACAGATTTATTCATAATAGCCCCAAACTGAGAACTACCCAAATGTCCTTCAAAGGGTAAATAACTAAAAAAATTTAAAATAAATTTTAAAAACCTGTGGCAGCTCAATGGTATAGCACTTGTCTAGCATGTGTGAGGCACTGGACTCAATCCTCAACACCACATGAATATAAATAAACAAAATAAAGATTTTTTTTAAAAAATGAATGATGCAACATGGATGAACCTGAATTACATAATGCTGAGAAAAGACAGTCCCAAAGGGTATGTATTCATGTTTCTATTTATGTGACAATAGTGAAATAACATAATTAAAAAGCTGAAGAACATATTAGCGATGCCAACAGAAAAATGAGGTTAGGTGTGGCTCTGAAAAGGTAATTAGAGAGTATTGAAATCTTTTAATTTTATAATGGTACAACTGAATATCTTGATTGAGGTGTTGGTTACATAAGGCTATGCATATGACAAAACTGCAGTTACACACACACAAACACACAAATTAATACATGAAAAATTGATAAAATATGAATGTATGGATTGTATCAATGTTCACTTTTTCATTTTGATATTACACTGTGGTTATGTGCAATGTTAGTACAGAGTATTTGGGGAAATATTCCCAAATATTCCTTGTAACCTCCTGTGAATCTGTAATTATAGTAGAAAAAAGAGAGGAAGAGAGAAAGGAAGGGAGGAAAAGAGGAGAGAAAATGAAGTGAAATTAAGATGGAAATGGAAGATACTTCTAACCTCAAATCTCTTTGGGTTTTATTCCCCAATACCTCTAATAAGCTCCTGGTCTCACATGTTAACTGTACCCAATCTGCCTGGACACTTTGGATAGAACCTGGGAAGGATTTCCAACTCCTTCCTTTCTCTCAATCTTCCTACCACACGCAAGCCTCTAAACTATCACCAATTTCTGTGAATTCTAACTACTAAATATCTTAAATATAACCTCCCTATCCAGTTATCAGTTTTTCATATCCTCATCATCTTTTATTTTAAATATTTTTAGTTGTAGATGGACAAAATACCTTTATTTATTTATTTATTTATTTTTTATTTTTATGTGGTGCTAAGGATCAAACCCAGAGCCTCACACATGCTAGGCAAGCGCTCTACCACCGGGCCACAGCCACAGCCCCTCATCATCTCTTGCTATGGTTTCCTAACTGCCCTGAGCCTTGTCCTTCCTAAACACATAGCTAATTGTGCTATTTCCCTAGACAAAAGTGTTCAGTAACTTCTCCCTGCTCTAAGGGACAAGTCTAAATTCTTCAGCACAGAATGTCGGATCCTTAATGATCTCCTACTCATTGCTCCACCTTCATTAACCTCACACTCCATGACTACATACACCTATTTTGAAATTCCATTAAAATAATCAGTCATTCCTCAAAAAGCCTCTGCTTATATTCCCTGTGCCTAAATCATCCTTCACCTATCCATTTTCTCTTCAAAATAACTTTTAACCTTCATGACTCAGATCAAGCATCATACTTATTCTAAAGCATTCCCTGAACTGTAACTCTGCCAGCACACACACAGAATAAACTGCTTTCTTCTGTGTGATCCCATAGCCCAATAATGACATTTATGAATTTTACTGTAGTTATTTTTTACATATCTATTTTTTCACTAGACTATGAGTTACTTGAGGGTAGGGATCATAGTTTGTGTACCTTTGTGTTCTAAAAGGCTAGTAGTTGTTCAATAAATAATTATTAGAAAGATAACAGAATTCTAGGAAATCAGGAATTTTCACTAACATATTCCAAGTGCCTAGAACTATGTCTGGAATCTAAGTATTTTTGAATGAGTGAACAAATGAATTAACAAATAAAGTCTTACCTGGTGAGAAGGCTGGGATCCCAATCTGTAAGATGATGTCTCTTTGAAGCGGGTGGTAGCTCCCACAACAACCCAGGGAAAGGGAAAAGGGGGGGACTGTTGACCCAGGACAGCAGAACCTTGGGCATGAAAAAGCCGATCTCTTAGCTGCTGAACTGGTGGCTACAAGAGTTGTAATAAGGAAGAACCATGTTAACAAAATGAAAACAAGCAAACATCTTCTCTTAGAAGACTGGCCCTTTTATCACTCAAGCTTCCAATGATCCTCTATACTCTAGACACTATAAATAACTCAAAGTTCCCTAGTCCCTGACAAACACTTGCATACTCCCTCTTGGCTAGTCTTTCTTCCTAGAAAACCCTACATCTGCTGGTAAGCTACTTCACTTTTAAAGGTCCAGCTCAACTGTTTTAACCACTGGGAAGACTTCCTTGACTTCTCCAGATAAAACCAGCCCTTTCCTAAGTCCCACAGTGCTTAGCATAAGCCTCTGTTATAGCACTAGAAGTTGCTAATATCTGATCTCCCCCAACATATTGTGAATTGCTTAAGGGATGAGTTCTTATTTATCCTAGGAGATTCAGCATTAGCATAGTGCCTGAAATGTGGAAATGCTCAGCCAGTGTTAGATGACAGAATGAAATGGTTTGTTCTCTCACATGGCCCCACTCACCTGAGCACAGTCATTGGGTAAAAAGCTCATGGCAGTGGCAAGGCTGCCCTGAGCTGCCAGGAGGTTGGCATACTGGGTGATCCTGTAGGTTGTGGTAGGGCCTGGGCTTATCCCATTAGGAGCCTGCTGAAGTTCCAAGCTCCTGTTAAGGACCATTACCTTCTCTATCAGGTCCTATAGGGACAAGGATGAGGGTGGTCAGACCTGTTCAAAGCACATTGTTCTCTAAATCCAGGCAGTTCACCCAGGAATGTCTCACTATGACTTCCCCAGACAAAGTCAGCCCCTTCCCTAAAGTCCCACAGTGCTTAGTATAAGCCTCTGTTTTGGCACTAGAAGTTACTAATATCTGATCCATACCCAGTTAAAGGCAGAAGCTAATATATTGGAGACATGACAGTAAAGGACCACTTGGCCTAATTTTCCAAGCTGTTTGGGATTGGGTTCAACTGGACTTATCTGGGTCTTGGATTCTTACTAATCTCTGCCTCCTCTTTTTGCTTTCTTTACCCTTTCTGCTAGTACATCATCAACCACAGACTCTGTTATTTTTTTTAAAGAGAGAGAGAGAGAATTTTTAATATTTATTTTTTAGTTTTCAGCGGACACAACATCTTTGTTTTTGTATGTGGTGCTGAGGATTGAACCCGGGCTGCACGCATGCCAGACGAGCGCGCTACTGCTTGAGCCACATCCCCAGCCCCAGACTCTGTTATTGTAATTGTTTCATGTGTGACTTTTGTCTTTCTGTGAATCTGTGACCCCTATCTTCTCTGGTCATTCAATGAGCATCTGATACAATTTAGATTCACAGAAATTTTCACAGAAGCTAATGGAAAATCCAGGCTTACAACTACTCAAATATTGAAAACACTTGTATGACCAAACCTGAAATGGGAAATGTTTATGACGGCTAATGCCCACGCAGCTGCTGCTTATTTTTCTCTGAGGGAAAGAAGTGACATTTCACCTTAGGAGAAGATCCCAGACACTGAGGGACTTTTGCTCCTCCCCAACACCTTGGTTCTAGTCTGTACCCAGAAGACCCACCTCTGTTATCTCTGCACATCCCCACCACTAGCCTCTCCAGAGGGCCTGATATGGAGCGGCCAGAATCCTAAAGAGAAAAGGTACCTGCAGAGCCATGGGGGATGAGGCCTGGTGGCCTTTTGCCCAGCACTCTACTAGCTGTTCCACATTCCCTGAGCACACATAACAGAGTGTAGCTTCAGAGGTTAATGCCCTGCCACCCTCCTGCTCCATGCGAGTCCCCAGCATGTCTGCAGAGAGATACAAATTTCATTAATGACACAGCTTCCCTATGCTGCTCCTCTCTTCTCTGTTTGGAAATAAGTAGAGGATCATGAGCTATGGAAACAAGTAGCTATCTGGTTTTAAGATTACACTAAGGCTAACCTTGCCCTCTGGTGAAAGGCAAAGCTCTCACATTAAGATGTGACACACAAAAGTAAAACAGAAAAATAAATGATCCCTACTGGAAATAGGGACATGAACTGCTATCCATGCTTTTTGGCTGAGCCAGACCCTGGCTCTAACAGTACACCCTGGCCTCCCAGAGTTCAGACTGCTTCTTTGCCTCCTCCTTACTTATGTCCATTAACTCCATGCTGAAGCCATAGTGCTTATCCCAAAGCTAGGACCACACCTACCACAGAGCTCAGGGAATTTCTCTGGCCCTGAGTATGTTAACAGTAAGGCCAGTGCCTCTCTCCAGTTCTTCAGGCTACAGGAACACACCAGATCCTTCCAGTTCTTCTGTACAACACAGGATAGAAGCTATAATAGGATGAGAAGGAAGGAGGCCCTCAGCCATCCATCCACATGGGCAGCAGTCTCACACACAAAGATGTACTAAGAGAGACACTCATGAGCAGGCCTCTTGTTAGACAATTGAGTAGGGTAAAGGTAATTAGAGTACTCTAAACACCAGTCCCAAGGTGTAAGCCTCCACCTGACAAGGTCCAGTAATCTCTTTCTTCTTCTCTGCATGATAAACAATTACCGAGGAAATTTTGGTTTGCCTCTTGGCCAAATAGCGCTCCTGTGTCCGTTTCAACAGATCTGTGCCCCCAGCCTGAGCCAAGATGATAGCATCAGCAAAACGCTCTTCCTTCAGACACAGCTCCACAGCAGAACTCAGTTCCCCAAGCAGCAGGGCCTGGCTCAGGAGTCCATCAGTGTCTGCAGATAGAGGCATCCCCTCCACATTAGCCTGCCCTCACTTCCTGTCCACTGCAGGGTCTACAGCACACCCTCTCTTGTCTCTATCCCATTCAGCTTTCCTTGCTCCCAAGAAAACCCTCAAGTTTCATTCCTTAACAATAATATGTAGTGAGGTGTCCAGGGGTGACAGGTCTCTAAAGACAAGATTCAAGACAAGGCAGGGGACTTATGTGGCAAGATCATGGGTTATCATGTGTGCTTGCTCAGCATGGAAAGTTCCAAGGCCTTTTCAAAAAAAGATATAAGAATAGTAAAAAATATCTTAGTAGAAGATTTTCTACAGGAAATCATCCATAAAAATATAACCCGAGAGAGCTCTAACTAGTAAGATCCTTGCCAATATTTAAGATGGTGGGAAAGAAGCAGGAGACAAAAAAGGACTATCTCAAGTCCAAGAACTCTGAGCCCACCTGCTCCCAAGCAGAGATTTTCTCTTCTTTAAGGCAAGGGTACCTTCTGTGATGGGGATCTCCCATGGGGTCATATTCTGAGGAACCAGCTCATCAAAGAAGGCTGAGGATGCAGAGGCATCCTCTGTAGTATGTTTGGAGGCCTGTGTAAGGAAGGATAGAGGTGACTACATAGGAAATAAACCCAGAGGTTCTTTACCACTGAGCTATATCCTCAGTCCTTTTAATGTTCTATTTTGAGACAGGGTCTCACTAAGTTACCCAGGTTGGACTTGAACTTGCAATCTTCCTGCCTCAGTTTCCTGAGTAGCTGGAATTACAGGCCTGTATCATTATGTATGGCTACTATTTGGGTAAGATAATACTAAAAACTAAAAAATTAACCAGTAAGATTTGAGAAGAGCTGATTCAGACACAGCTTCATTTCCAACCCCAAAGCTTATGGACTCTGTGTCTTATTCTGGTTCCAAAAGAGTTGGGAGTTTGAAGATTTTTACAGAAATTAAGCACCTTATTGAGAGCACAGCAAAGTGCCAGTATAGAAGATACTCTAGAGACTGGTGCCCTATACTAGACCAGGTAAAGTTGGCTGGGATTTTATCATACCTGGCTGCAGAAGACTTGTTGTCTGTTACTGTTAAAGTTATCTTTCTTGGGCTGAGGACTCTCTGCTGGCCCCAAGTCCCTCTTCAACCATGTGGTCACCTGCAGAGAGAGATCTAATTTAATACTACACTTTCTAGTTCAAACAAGGCTGAAGTTCTCTTCCCACCTCCATGCCCCATCAACTGAACTAAGATCCTTCAACTACCTTCCAGGGAAAAAGCCTAAATACAAGAAGTAAAATTCTCATTTATGTATTACTTAAGCCCATAAAGTAGTATTCTGAGATGGCTTTCTCTGGCAGAATTCTCTGTTCTCTGCATTAAGTCCATGTTTCAGATGTGAAGAGTAGCTTACCTTCTCTAGAAGCTCATCTTTATTGTATCCTAAAAGCTTTAGGAATTTCATTCTTGAGTCTTGCTCTAAAGTCACCTAAGGAACAGAGAATAACAGAAAAGTCTCCACCAAATGAATGTGAATGGCCCTCCTCCTGCACCAAGCTAAACAGCTGAGCCAGTGTGCCCTCAAATATAGTTCTATCATAGTGCCCTCAGAAAAGCCACCTTTCTCTTTTTCTTCTTCTTGCTCAGCAGTACAAAGACTGACTTCCTGATTACTTCTGTTCTCTTTCCCATTCTGCCATTCCTAGAGCTTGTATCCTACATCATTTCTTACTCTTTCTTCCTACATCTTTCTCAAATTCTTTCCTCTCTCCCAGGTCCTGATGTATACTTTCATAAAGCTCTAGTATGTCTGATGCATAGACCCCAAATTTCTCACAGACCCCCTGGACAGCCCTGTTCTATTTTTTTTTCATCCTCTTAGAATCCCAAAGATTCTAAGTCAGCCAGCTACTTCCCTTTCTTCCTTCAGACCTCTCAATTGCTCATTTCTTTTGACAGATGTAGTACTCTTCCTGGTGCCATAAGCACCTTGACTTTAAATGAGAACTAGAACTGAATCCATGCCTCCAGAGTGGCACCTGCACCCTGAGGCCCACCAAAAGGACTTCCCTTGGGTTATCTGAAACAAACTCAAAGCCTACTTATGATGATGCAACCTTCCAGCTAAACTTCTTCCCTTCCTTCTTTTTCTCCATCCTTCCCATCAACTCCTCTGCATTTGGCATGATACTGTGAAAACTTTCCTTGGCTCTGATAAATTATCCTGAGCATCAGCAATAGCAGCAATCAAGGAAGACATCTCTTACACTCCCCATCTTCACAAGTGGCCTCTAAGCCTCTCATACAGGGTGAAGATTCTGTGTCTAGAAGACACGGGAAAACCCCAGGGGATTAGGCCTCTGCAATCTGGGCCACAGTGTGGAAGTGCATCTCCTGGAGTTGATAGAAACTGGAGTTCCAGGCTTTAGGGAAGCACTGATGAGCGGCCAGCCTTCAAGTTTCCTACCTTCAGGAACTGCCAGAGCATCTTTTCACATGGCAGCAAAGCCTGCTGGCTCTTGTTCTGACAATATTTCATGAGATTTCCTGATCCCAAGGCCTCCTGAAGCTCAAGTGACCTCATCAGGAATTCAGATTCTGTAATGACTTGACTGATGAAGACAAGGCGGGGACAAGGCTGTGGCAACTTCTGGGAAGGGGTACTGGAAAGGCCAAAAGTGACCAGCTTCCCCCCAAACTGGTGAGAAAGAGTAAGAAAGTCAAAGGTTATACCTTCATGCCAAAAACTAACACCATGTCAGGATCACAGGAAAGGCTATTGATTTACCCTAGGGCAGGAAAATAATAAAAAGAGAGCCCCTGGGAGTGGAATAGGATCAGGAATTGAGTATTAAATGTATCTCATACCAAAACCACTTCTTGAATTTTTGGTTCCACCTGTTTAAAACGTCACTATTTGGTGCTCATCCTCCCCCATCCTGGCACCACCACTCTCCCAGGCACCTGGCCTAAATACCTTGGCATTTCACAGTCTTCATACCCACTGCAGCCAAGCTCCCCCACCAGGTCCTACTCCCAGTACTGACACACTTAGATTACCAGAGGAGTTTGCTAGCCCTTAGTTTTGGTTTTTTCCTCCTCCAACCCAAATCTCAGATCCTCCCCTATTGCTGTACCACCTGTTTTGTTTGTTTTTCTCTTTAACATATTGATTTTATATTTTTTCTTCATTCCTCTTTCTTTTTTAAGTATTTGTTCTTCTTAGATATATATGACAGTAGAGTGTATTTTGACATATGTACATGAAGTATAAAATTATTCTAATTAGGATCCTATTCTTGTGGTTGTACATGATGTGGAGCTTCACTGGTCATGTATTCATATATGAACAAAGAAAAGTTATGTCCAATTCATTCCACTCTCTTTTCTAATCTGATTCCCATACCTTCCCTTCATGTATCACCTTTGCTACTTTGGAGATGGTAATGGCTTCACAGGCCTCAAGAAAACACTTACATTGCTCTTTCTAATGTGATCAAAATCTCAAAAAGTCAGGGCCGAACTTGCCTTTCCCAGCATTGCTTTCTCTCTCTGTTCATTTATATGATCACTCCACATCACCAAAATGCCCAGTTCATCCCTACTTCTGTGCCTTGACACACAGTACCACCTCTACCTGCAGCATCCATCTTGCCAAATTTGATACTTGACATAAAACACCTGGCACAAAATAGGAGTGTAGGCAACTCCCTTGCTTCAGGAGTTCTCAACCTTGATTGCATATTAAAACCACCTCGGAGAGCTATCCAGTGTCGCCAGACTCTAACCCAGACAATAATATCAGAAACTTGGTGTGTGAAGGAAGGGACAAGCATCAGTATTTTTTAAAGCTTCAGGTTATTTCAATGTGTAGCCAAGGTTGACAACTACAGCTTTACTCCCTATTCATTATTTCCTTTCCAAAGACTCACACCCCTCAGTGAATTTTCCAGTCAGAATTATTTTCTCTCTGGATTCCTTAGCACAAATTCTGCACCACAGCTTAGAATTCAACAAAACCATTACATCAGACCATTTCGATTTTCATAGTACTTGACAATTTCATAAGGTGCTTACATGGTTTTCATCTGAGGTTCATGACAAGTCACTAACTTAAGCTTGGCAGGTACTATCCCTGTTTTATAGATAACAAACACTGACATCTTCTGGGTGCAGTGGTACACACTTATAATCTCAGCTACTTGGGAGGCTGAGGCAGGAGGATCTCAAGTTTGAGATCAGCTTGGGAAATTTAGTGAGACCTTCTCTCAAAATAAAATTAAAAGGGCTAAGGATATAGCTCAGTGGTACAGAACCACTGGGTTCAATCCCAGTAGCAAAACAAAACAAAACACTATAGTCCTGAAAGGTTAAGTGACTTATTCAAGGATACCCAGCTAATAAATGACGGAGCTGTGGTAAGAATTCAGGCTTCCTGACCCCAGAATTCTTCATCTCACTACCTACCTCCTTTTTTTTTTTTTTTTTTCTTTAAGCTCACGGCTGCTTGAGTGTCTTCATCTTACCTTCCTAATTAAGTTGTTGGCTCTAAAAACATGAACCTCTATTTTTAAAAAAGTATTAGTTGTAGATGGACACAATACCTTTAATTATTTTTATGTGGTGCTGAGGATCAAACACAGTGCCTCACACGGACTAGGTAAGCACTCTACACTGAGCAACAACCCCTGCCCCTGAACCTTTATTTTTATATATATGTTTTCAACTCAAATCTGATATTTTATTTAAAGCATTGTGCTGGATGTTTCAGGGCCTTGCTACTCAAAGAGTTGATCCTTAGACCAGGAGCAAGGACATCACCTAAGAATCTGTGAGAAAATCAGAATTTTGGGCTCTACCCAAGACCAAACAAGCCACAATTTGAATTTTAATAAGATCCTCGCGTGATTTTTATATACATGAAAATTTGAGGAGCACTACTTTTGGAATATAAAAATGAACAAGACATGGTCCCTACCCTTATGGACTCAATTACTTAGAAGGCCTCCAGAAAAGTATACGAATAACTTTAGTACAGTTAGAACATAAGTCGGGAATACAGAAGGGAGGTCAAGTTTCACTAGGGTTAAAGTCAGGCATCTTGTCACAGGTTCAAAGCCAGCCTCAGTAACTAAGTGAGGCAATGAACAACTTAAAAAGACCCTGTTTCAAAATAAAATATAAAAAATAAAGTTGGGGGCTGGGAAAGTGGCTCAGTGGCTAAGTGACCCCGAATTCAATCCCTGATACCAAAAAAAAAAAAAAGTCAGGCATCATGGAGGAGATGGTACGTAAGTGGGTGGCCTGCAAAGGCCACAGGAGGATTCAATGGGCTCAGTAGGGTAAGGTACCAGCAGAGGCAAGGGAGCTGAGGAGTTATTAATGGAACAGAAAGGAGTCATATGTAACTGGAACCTATGTTCTTTCCTTCTTTGTACTCCTTTTCATCAGTTCAAATATGTAAGTGTTAGGGAAATCTCAGGTGGAATTTTAGGCCATTCTCTACAACCAAGAGGTCTAAAACAATCAATTGTTTTTAGACACAGAAAGCAGGGTTCGGAATAGTTGACGAGTAGAGAGAGAAACTAGGGGCAGTGGGAATAAACCTCCTACTGAACTTCACTCCTTGCTGGGCACATGCAAGGCTCCACATATACAACCACACCATATACCCATGACACTTACAGCAAATGAAACACCTGCTGGCCTTCTAATCCATTTTGGGGGCTTTTTCAAGGGAGGTATCAATGATGCTTGGGCCACATGCTCTGGTACCTGCAATGGTGGAAGAGGCTGGCCTTTGCTGAAGGAAGAGGAGATCTAGGGGGAAAGACATCTGCATCATCTGCTTGAAGTGGTAGTTTAGCCAGGAACTCCATCTACAAACTCCATTTTGGGAGGAACTCTGAGACACCCAATTTAACCTAAAAAAGCCAGACTCTCATGTTCCAAGGGATGAGGATGGGGATGGAACTGGAAGTGAGGGTGAGACTCCCACACAGTAGGCTATTAGAAACCCTACTATGTTCAAAGTCTATAATGGAGTGTGAAAAAATGGATCTATAGGAGAGAGGGAAGTATAAAACAGTCCATACGCCTGAGATAATGGTCCCAGCACTGGGGTTTAATATACCTAAAATATTCAAGGGAACATCCAAAAACAAGAATCAAGGTGAAAGTCTCCTTTATATTGTAGCAGAAACATACCATCCCCGGAAGATGGGCACTGAAGCAAGGTGCTGCCCTCCCAAATCCAGGACTCTGGTCTGCCCATCTCTAATAGCCCCCACTTCTTTCCAGGCCATGTGTCCTTCTTTCTCCCAAAAAAGATATAAAGATAGCCCCTTCCCTTCATCACTCTCCACCAAGCCCTTCAAACCTTGTCAGCCTGTACCATGTGTTGGATTTCCCAGCTCCTGCCCATGACAGAGTACAAACTGATCCAGCCATCAAAGGAGGCAGCAGAGAACACTGGAGGGTTCCGAGGGCACCATTGAACATCTAAGCACCAGCTGCTCTGTGTGGGTAGCTTATACACCACCTAACAGGAGGGAACACAACCATTAGGGACCATATAGTCCAGGAAACCCAAAGCACATAAGCTCATAGTTGGGATTCCTCTAACCATCGTGTCTCCATCCCAGCACACCCATAGGAGAACCAACCTACCTCACTGTTCCCAAGGTTCCAGCACAAGATCTGGTTGTCCTTGGAACTACTGAGCAGCAGCTCAGCATCAGCTTGGCTCCATGACACTGACAAAATTCCCCTTAAAAGGAAAAGAAAGATGAATTAGCATTTGTGGAATACCTACAATGGGCAAGGTGCCTTATATATCTTAGATAAATTTCAGCCCTATAACATGGGTGGTCTAATTTCATTTTACAAATAAGGAAAACAAGACTTTGAAAAATTAAGTAGCCTTCAGATAGCTGTACAGCCAGAACAAAGTCAAACTCCAGAGCCTGAACCCTACGTGGTGCACAATCCTTCTTCCCCTAGATCACTGCTAAATGGCCTGCTTTTCTCCAGAGTAGGTTGAAAAATCAGTATGAATCACATGTACACTCATCCCTGTAGTGCTTTCAGCCAAAGAGGATAGTGAAGACCTAATCCTCAGAAGTCCCCGAAGAGGTATAAAGGCAAGAGGTCCCTTTAGCTAGAAAGAATAGATTGTGGAACTGCTTCAGGGCCAGACCTTTCACAAGATAGACAGGAGCCAAATAGTTTTTATTAAGGAGAAATCTTGGAGGAGGTTACCTCAGCATGTAGAAAAATGAATGTTACCTTTAGATCAGAGCCTAGGAACTCTCCCAAGGGGGCTGCTATACTTTGGATCTTAAGTATGCCCCAACGGTCCATGGGCTAAAGTCTTTGTCTCCGGAGAGGTGCTACTGCAACATAGTGAAACCTTTAAGAGGTGGGGCTACTGAGAAGTCCTTGGGTCATGAGGGTGTGCCCTAAATGGAATTATGGGACTCTGGCCTCTTCTTTATCCTTTTTTGCTCCCTAGTCATTAGGTGACTGGTTTTGCTTTACCAGACACTCCTGCCATGGATTCACAGCCTCACCATAGGTCTGAAAATAATGGGCTAATTGATCATGAACTGAAATCTCCAAAACTATGAGTAAAAATTAACTTTTCTCTTTATAAGTTGATAACCTCAGGTATTTGTTATAGTGATAGAAAACACAGGGACTAAACATCAACTCAAATATTTCTCATAATGCCATCCCTGTCCCCCTCCCTATAAATTAGATGGAATCACAGGTTCTTCTCCATAACCTCAGGATCTAAAGAACTTCTCTTGGTTATGACTCGAGCTAGTGCTAGCTATGTGTTCACTCAACGGCTTTGAAGCCAGGAAGGATGTTTGGTAGCTAACGTGAGGCAATTCATTGCTTCCTACCCAGGTCAGTTATGCCCCCTCCAATCCCACAGAAGATATGGATGGGTTTTGGGATGCTACCTGCTGTGGCTCTCTAGCACCTTCAGGGGTGAGGAGGCAAAACGTAAGTCCCACAACTGAATCACTGGGAGACGGTCGTCTTCTGAGCACAGCACTAACTGGGTAGCTATGTCTGGGTGCCAGGCCAGGCCCGAGCAATGCATCTGTGAACAAAGCAGATCTCAATGGGTGACATAATCTGACTCTTATTGTTATAAACTCTTTTCTGCCCAATAGGGATGGGACCGTTCTCAGGGTAGGTCTTATGTTTCTTTTATGTGACTGGGAACACCACAGTCATCAGGAGATAAGTGATAATCATGAATAAATAAGGAAGGGCAGAAGCTTCCAAATTAGTTCTATTTACCTTCCCCAAGCATTCATTCCTAATAGGAAACCAACAAAGGGGCTGAATCCACATGTCTAAAAGTTGAAGCAGAACCCTGACCTAGGGCAGAACAGCTCCAAGTGCTTGGTGCAAAAGAGAAGCCAGAGCAAGGCCTATGTTCTGGCCTCCACTACTCACCCTGCTGCTATGATCACTGACTTTGATGATAGGTTCATTCTTCCTGAGATCCCATACAACTGCCTTGCCACTGGGATGAGCAGAAGACAGAATGTGCTGGACTTGCCGGTTCCAAGAGAGTGCCTTGACGTCTTCTAAGGGCTGCTGAGGCAGGGTGTGGGGAGGTGGGAGGATTGTTATTCCCTGGACCAAGTATTATCTGCTATTCCACTATTTCCAACCACCCACAAGCCCAAGAATAGACACGGGGCTCCCCAAACTAAGATAGTCTCAGAGAACTGGAAATTGAATTTTCCCAGGAAGATGCATTGGGGTACTGATATAGAAGTGGATGAGGTAGGGGTTGGGGGATGACAGACATGCTTGGTTTTTACTCCTATCCCAAATTTCTCCTGAGAGGGTAGAGGCAAGATTTAAAAACAGTCTTCTTATCTACTACAACAGAAGGGAGAGAAATAGGAAGGTGAAAAGGGAAGGACACGTAGATACCCAAGACCCCCATAGACAGTGAGGCAAAAAAGAAAATCCAGTGCTACTTGCAGGATACAAGGTGCCATCAAGTTCATACTTAACTTACCTCACGATACTATAAGCGTAAGACAGAAAAGCCAGGAAGCAAAAAGATGGGCCCAAAGTTACAGACTGACAGAGAGGCACACTCAGAGACAGAAGACATACCAGATCCTGACTGCATCCTTATACATACAGAGACAATGCTGACCCTCACCACAAAATAAGGACAATGGTATGTCCAGGGTCCTACTTTTGCTCCCTTTCTGCTGAGCCCACAGCCCTACCCAACCCCGCCAAACCTACACTATAACAAGTAGCACTTCCATTCCTTTTCTCACTGTCTTTTGCTACACCTGTCCTTCATCTTCATTCCAAAAACTTTTAAAACAGCTAATAACCACAAACCAACCATTCCACACACAGCCCCTGTACCACCCTTCATCCCAACTCTTATCTGGTCAATAGCATGTTAGTCTGTGGAGTTTATTGCCCTCCAGTGGTAAAGTCTGAAATCTACTGTTCTCTGGTTGACTACAGAATTCAAGACTTTACCTGGAAAGATCAGCTGTACACCCTAATAGCCCCAAGGCAAAGAGCCCCCACCCCTCACCTGTGACTTACATCCTGGGGTCATTGGAACGCTCAGATTATTCAAATCCCAAATGAATATTTCAGAATTACTTGCCCCTGAGGCCAGCAGGTTGTCCTGTGTGAATAAAATGCATGTGGAGATAAACTATCTGAGAAACAGATGAGAGCAGGAAAGAGGGAAAAGGACCACAGTTAGGATATCCAAAGCCTCCACTGCAGCCTGGAAAGGGTTCAGAGTTACAGCCCAGAGACTACAAGTGAATGCTTCCATTCAAACCTGTTGCTCCATGGCTTGGCCATGTTTGATCACTGAATTATAGTACCTGGAAAGGATTAAAGTCAAGGGCTCTGACAGCTCCTGTGTGCTTCTGTCTCTGGGCAATCACAGGCTCCTTTCCAGAAGACAGGATGTGGGTCACATTGTACAGAGTAAGCATGCCATTGTCTCCACCACCTGCAATAACCCCGGAGCTTTCCAGAAGCCCATTGTCAAAGCTTCCCCAGATCAGCTTGTGAAACCTATAAAGAAGAAGAACCAGCATCAGCACCAACTTAGGTCCATCTCAGTAAGCAGCCTTTGCCTTTTATCAAGACATCAGAACCCCAGGCTGAGACCTGCCCACCTCCTTTATTTCTCAGACACTGAGAATGAAACTCTCCTCTAATTTGTCCTACCCTTTCTCTGAAAAAAATATTCCACCTATATTATACTAGAAATTAGGAAGTCATTGCCTCTGTTTTGTATGGGAATATTTTTTTTTAAAGTTAATGTTGGGGTTATACAGGCCCTGTGATTACTACTTCAAATAGATGACTTTATTTAATCCTCATAACTCAAATAGCCAGATAATAATCACAGCAACTGATGTTTATTGAATACTTACTATGTACCAGGCACTGTTTTAAATGCTTTACATATATTAGATGACTTAGTATTACTAAGTCATCTATAAGGTATTAATAATATCTCCATTTTCAATTAAGGAAACTGAGGCTCAAAGAAGTTGTAAGTCCTCTATAGATAATGCTAGTAATTTCACCCTCATTTTTTAATTAGGAAGTGGCAGAATCAAGGTTCAAAGTCAGCCCATCTTATTCCAGAGCCTGAGCTCTTAATATCACAAAGTACTGCCTCCCACTGAGAGGAAGACCCAACTCTCCTATAACTGCTTAGATCCACAACTGCTATTCCCTCTTCTCTCAAATTGTAAGTGAGAAAAAGACACAAGAACCTCTCTGCTCCATGCCTTTCCCACATGGCTAGCCCATTGGAGCTGCCACATGGCTGCAATGGGCCAGCAATAGAGACATGGGAGAATGAAACATTAAATGCTCCAGATGGGAAACACTTTTTCTTGCTTTCTGAGGATGCTTTTGAGGATACAAGACAGTGCCAGTGTCTTGCACAAAAGAAATAGACCCTGGATCCTCTGCAGACAAATTTGGTCCCATGTAAAACCTACAGGGAAGGATGTGAAGTCCCAAAAGTCTGTTTCACCCACACAGTTGCTAACCAAGGACATTTCCACAGCCCTTTAGAAAAGTAAGATTTCACATCAAATATCATGAGATCCATAGCTACCATGAAATATTCTCACATCCTGGGAACAGCAAAGAAACTGAATGGGGCAATAGGGCAGGAATTTATTTGCTAGGCATTCGAGCAGAGTCAACCTATCAGGAGTGCAGAACTGAGCGCCAGTTCAGATCAGCTGGCATCTGAGGCAGAACAGTGGAGCTAACACAATGATACATCTGCTACTACCAGAAAGGCAGATTGGTGGTAGCAGAAAGGCAGATTTCTAAGGCTGTACTGATCTTTACAGAAGAATGTGTCCATACTGGTTTAAGAGGCTTCCATATTTCCAAGGACTGGAGCCATCAGAGGGACTGAGTTGCAGAACACAGAGTATAACAAAATGGTTTTCTTTCTGTATGCAGGCAGAAAGTACATTTTTGTTATTCAACCCTTCACTAGTGAGGGTGAAGCTGGCATCTGGAGAGATCATAATAGAGAACACCTGGGTGAAGTTAAGCAAGGTAGGGGACTTGATCACTCAGTGGGCTCAAGTAGTGTCAACAATCTGTTCTGAAAATGAACAAGAACCAGAGATAACCATGGGGAGGAGGGGCAGCAGCGAAGGGAGAGGGGGGCCAAATATGACAAAATGTTAATAACTGATGTCTCTGAGTGAAAAGCATGATTGTTCATCATACTCTTCTATATTTTTCCTATAAGTTTGAATATTTTAAAAAATAAAGTTAAAAAAAGATGAAATTTATCTTGAAAAAGGAACTGAGAGGTTTAAGAAGGTATAGGAAAAAGAGTTTCTATAAAAAGATGGGAACCTTTAAACATGAGAGTTTCTCTGCAAAAGGGATTCTCAAGATAATGTGAATAAATTATGACAATAATGGAGACCGTATGGTATTACAGAATGATGGGTGGTTCCTAAAGAAAATATAGGTTCATTGATTCCTTCCTGACCTCATTAATAGAATGTCAGAACTACATTTTTTTTTTCAGAGTAGAAAGTAGAGGCTTTATTAAAGGACAGCAGAAAAGACTTCTCCCAGAGGAAGAAGAGGACCCAAGAGATGGAATCCGTGGAAGTGCAGTTGTTTCCCCTTTTTATAGTTCTTTCAGTGATGGAATATAGGTGGGAAGGCCTGAAGTGTGGGCACAGGTGGGGCAAAGAGGTAATCTTCATTAACATTTCTTTGGGATGGGCTCTGGGCCTTGGGCTTTTCCCGGACTTCATTAACATTCCAAGAGTAGTTTCTGCTTTTCCTGGAATTCATTCTCAACATGGCCTCCATTTTGGATCTTACTTGATATTAGACCCGATTTACCTAACTACACTGACTACCTAACTTTAAATCTGGCTTCATTCCCCCCTCTAATTTTGGGAACTCCTTACTGCTGTAAGGAAAGGGGGCGAAGATCGCAGAACTACATTTTTAACAGGAGCACACACAAGTGATTCCAATAAGCATCCATGGCTGAGAACCACTGTACTACAGCTTAGAACAAAAGGGGAAGACATTGAATTTCATAAAATTAGAAGCAACCCTAGCATCCAGCTCATGGTGAAGCTTTTGGCAAGATGAAAGAGACAAGAATGAAAAGAAAAAACTGAGGACTATGAGATCAGGATGCTATACCGATTAAAGCTCATCTTCGACTAAGATTTAGCACCTTATGATTAGAAATATCTTCAGTGAAGGAACTGAACTGGCACTTCATAGAAGAAAAAAAAAGAATTGGTCAACAAATATATGAAAACATCTGTAGAAATTAGGTTGAACAAATATATGTTCAACATCTCTAGAAATTAGAGAAATGCAAATTAAAACTATGCTGAGATTTCATCTCACTCCAGTCAGAATGGCAATTATCAAAATACAAGTAATAATAAATGTTGACGAGGATGTGGGGGAAAAGGTACACTCATACATTGCTGGTGGGACCTCAAATTGGTGTAACCACTCTGGAAAGCAGTATGGAGATTCCTTAGAAAACTTGGAATGGAACCACCATTTGACCCAGTTGTCCCACTCCTATACACAAAGGACTTAAAATCAGCATACTATAGTGACACAGCCACATCAATGTTTATAGCAGCTCAATTCATTATAGCTAAGCTATTGAATCCACCTAGGTGCCCTTCAACTGATGAATGGGTAAAGAAAACATGGTATATATATGCAACGGAATATTACTCAGTCATAAAAAGGAATGAAATTATGGCATTTGTTGGTAAATGAATGGAACTGGAGATTATCATGCTAAGTGAAATAAGCTAATCCCCAAAAACCCAAAGGCTGAATGTTGTCTCTGATATGTGAATGGCTAACACACAATAAGGGAGGAGGAAGGGAAGAATATATGTACTTTGGATAAGACAAATGGGAATGAAGAGAAGGGAAGGAGGTGGGAATAGGAAAGACAGTAGAATGAATCAAACATTACTTTCCTATGTTCATAAATGAATACACAATCAGTGTAACTCCACATCATGTACAACTGAAAAAATGAAAAATTATACTCCATGTATGTATAATATGTAAAAATTCATTCTACTTTCATGTATAACTAAAATGAACAAATAAGATTTTTTTTAAAAAAAAAAAAAAGAAAGAAATATCTGCAGTGTAAAAGTTCTTGTTTCCGTGATCTATGCACAACTTCACTTTGGATTTTTCTTTCACTTGCTTAGTAAGGTTTCTTTTGAAAAATCCCAACCTCATGTAAGCAAACTAAAGTAAAAAAGAGTTTGTTCACATCCAGGCTAAAATTGTTGGGGAAATCCAAGTTTCCTTAAACATCAGAATGGTGGAGGCAGTGCTCCAAGCTGGAGAATGAAGGCAATGGAATGGAGCAACGGCTATTGGAGAGACAAACTACTTTCCTGAATACCTACTATGAAAAGGCCACCTAGTATCTACTTTGTATTCTGAACCTCGCCATAGTTTTAATTGCATTTCTCTAATTGCTAGTGAAGAAATGTTTATAGTAGAGCCAGAAAAGTTGAATACTGTGTCCAAAAGGACAGTAAGTGGCAGAGCCAGGATTCGAACCTAGGTCTATCCAATAACAAAGCCCATGTTCTCTCCACTCTATGAACTTGATGCCTCTAGCAAAAATGCAAGTCTTGAGAACAGAAAAACTGAGAAGTACACAAAATGATTTTTTTTCTTCTGAGTACTATCTCTTACATAAGCATCCAAAAAGATATCACAGCATTCTGGCTACCTAGAATTAAGATAAAGGTAGAACAATAGAAAACAGATCACCTACTCTCTCCATGTTATTTAGAGGATATGTCCTACAGAGGCTACTCAGAGACCTAGAACCTCAGTGTAGACAGAGCATAGTATAGCAGATCACACACTGGACTCTGACTTCATTTAGCCAAAGCCACTATATCTGCAGCCAATGACATAAAACTATAATTTGCCCAGAAACATTTCTTCTTGAGTGAACTTCATCTAACAAGCCAAACATCACTTGCTTCAGTGCACATGCTAATCTGCATCGATTCTGCTTGCATCCAGAAGCACTTATCCATTCATTCTCTTCATCTATTCATGCTTCAGGCTGCCCTTTATCAATACCCACACAGTGGTTCCTAACATTTCTTTCAGTCAGATATTTTTGATAGATAATATTTCTCAGCTACTTCATGGATTGAGAATAAGGAAATCTTCATAACCCAAATTTGGCTGAGGCATATATTTGATGAAAAGGGCAAGCAGAGGAAAGGGGAAGATTTTGAAAAGTGTATGTCTAGTTAATAATGAAGAGTCACAGGAAGAAGCTTTTTTAAAAAAAAAAAAAAAGTAAAAGGAGACTACCATAAAAAAAGAAAGGGAAAAGAGACTGAATGTAAGACCTGAATTCAGGTCTTAGCAGATTCTCAGACTTTCTGTTATTAGGTTAAACTGTGAAAAGAAAGAAGAGAGTGTTTCTGCCTAAATATTTAATCTCTGAGAGAGACTAAGAAATGCACAGGGGTTCATCAACCATCAGATATAAGACTGCCTTCTAGAAAAAAAAATTTTTTTTTTTTTTTGGTACTTGGGATTGAACCCAGGGTCACTCTATCACTAAGCTATATCCTGAGTCCTTTTAATTTATTTATTTTGGTACTGGAAATTGAACCCAGAGGCATTTTAACCACTGAGCCAATTCCTAGCCCTTTTTATTTTTTTTATTTTGAGAGAGGGTCTCACTAAGTTGCTTAGGGCCTTGGTAAGTTGCTGAGGTTGGGCTTGAACTGCAATCTTCCTGCCTCAGTCTCCCAAGTCACTGAGATTACAGGCATGTGCTACCATACTCTGCTTAGAAAAATAATCACCAAAGTAGGGTGAGCAAGATTACTCACTAGGCTGTAAGAAGATTTATACATTCAACCTATAAAATGATAGAAAATACACTTTATTAATAGTACAGTAAAACATACATTATTTATATTGAATATATAACTTGAGTACAATGAATATTCACATTTTTCTGATCGGATAAAAACTTACAGATCATTGATTCAGACTGTAAAGTCCCACCTTTACAAAACCTTTAAAAAGGCAGTGGAATAGGGCTGTGGTTGTGGCTCAGCAGTAAAATGCTCACCTAGCACGTGCAAGGCCCTGGGTTCAATCCTCAGAACCACATAAAAATAAATAAAATAAAGGTATTGTGCCCAACTACAACTAATAAATAAATACTTTTTAAAAAGGCAGCGGAGGGCTTGGGATGTGGCTCAAGCGGTAGCGCACTCGCCTGGCATGCGTGCAGCCCGGGTTCCATCCTCAGCACCCACATACAAACAAAGATGTTGTTGTGTCCGCCAAAAACTAAAAAATAAATATTAAAAAAAAAAAGTTCTCTCTCTCTCTCTTAAAAAAAAAAGAGGTTTGAGCATGCAGCTGAAAGGAGAGAGAAAAGGGAATATTTTTTAAAAAGGCAGCGGAATAATGGAAAGAAGGTAGGCATTGGACTCATAGATGCCTAGACTTAAATCCTAGCTTCTCAGAGTTTCAGTTCCTGTCCATGTAAAATGGAAATAATGGTAATTAACACTTGAGCTTATTTTGAGTAATGAATAAAATATAAAGCCCCTAGCTGTGTCTGGCACACGCATATGTGCTCAATGAACAATAATACCTAACTTATCAAGGCCTACAAGGCCTCCTCTAGCCTAACCTGCCAACCAGGAAGAGAATGAATGACCCTCTCCTAATTGCGGTTTCACAATATCACCCATGAAATCCATGAGTACCTTGTCTTCCAGAGCCATGAAATCCAGGAGTACCTAATCAATGCCAAACAGCAATGAGAAGGATCATTCATTCTCTTCCCTGTTGGCAGAAAAGGATGATATTGTATAACATTGTGAGCTTCACAAGAGCCAAGAGAGGAAAGAGCCAACATCTCTAGGTTCAAAGAGAGATGAGGTCCATGTGGTCCAGGCTCTGGTGAGATGTCTCTGTAATATGTGCTGTCTGTTGTTGTTGTTCTTGCTGCTGCTGCTGCTGACCAGAAAGATGAAGCTGGTTGTTTTTTAAAATCTTATTGCAAAATAAGCCCAGAATTAACTTCTCTCCTGCTTGGCAAAACTCCTTCTCCCCTCACTTGACTCCTCATGATCCCTGAGATGTACACACTACTCCCAGGAGTTCTTCATGAGTATCATCATGAGGGTTTGCCCCATATATCCATCAACAGTCCAAACAGAGTACCTGCTCGAGGCAGAAAGGACTCCTTTTTGTTTCAAGTCCATAGAAGGATCCCTGAAATCAACCTCAAAGATTTCCAATGTGCCATTTGTGCTAAAGGAGGCATCTAGCTGTTGGGCAGATGTTCCTAGGCACAAGAAAAGTCAAAAAGAGGCAGCATATGAGCAACAATACACACATGAATTTAAAGTATAAATGGGTTAGGGAGTGGAAAGGAAGGACAGGAGAGGGCTCCAAAGAAAGCATAAGGGGCCTATCCTTGAACAATAGTCCAAGACTAATCCCAGGTACCCAAAAAATCTCTATCCCATTGCTTATGCAGTGAGTCATCCCCACCTTTCTATGATCCTAAACTTTCTCTGATACTCAATAATGAATTTTAGGTGCTAAATTTTTCCTCAATGTATGTACTTTCAGTGGCTCCATAATATCACCATACCTGTGGCCAGATACACAGGATACTGACTGGCTGGGCTCCACACTTGGACAGCTGGCCGCTCAAGTTCCTTCAGCTTCATTGTCTGTCCTGTAGGTGGCAGAAAACTAACATGCCTCTTGGCCCACTGAAAATAGAAACCAGCAAGTTTAAGGTCCAGATCCAGGGAGCATCAATAGACATTTGATTTTGTTTCTCTCCACTAAGATTTTGTTTCAGGGCAACACAGATTGACGAATACAAGAGGGCTCTTGAGTCACAACCATTGTCATATTTGGGGGGAATGATCCCCTAATACTAAGGACAGCTCTTTTATTGAAATCTAATTCCTTAAAGCCCAACAGACATTAAACCACACTGGTTGCCCAAGGCCCAACGGTGATATTCTGCTAATCAAACCATTGGGCCTTGGGCAACCAGAAATTATCAAACCACATAATTTCTCAGTGATTCTGTTCATTTCCTTGGCTTCAAATATCATCATATGTGTTTGACTCCCAAATTAATATCATCAACACAAATCTCTCCTTTTAGTGCCAAGTTCTTATATACAATTACTAATCAAATATTTCTCCTTAGACATAGCAAAGATACTTAAGTTAGTCTTATAAAATGGGATTCTCTATTCTATATCTTCCCCCACCATCATCTCTCAGCCAGATTACTGCAATAACTCCAGCTGGTTATCTCCTTGCTACATCCATCATCCAATTCATTCTCTACATCACAGCAGGAATGAACTTCTAAAACAAAAATTAGGATTCTGGAGGTCCATGCATAAAATCTTTCAATGCTCTATCACAGTCAGAATAAAATTCAAGCTCCAGTCTACCACTTCATCTCTTACTTTTCTTCTTACATATTATATTAAAGCCAAAGTAGCCTTTTATTATTTCCTGAGTTTTTCCTACATGAGAGACTTTGCAAATGCTGTTCCCTATACTCTAATGCTCTTCCCTTCACCCTCTGCAAGACTAACTCTTTTATCATATCTTTCTGGACTCAGTCTAACCTCTTCAGAGAGGTGACCCACCTAATCAAAATCAGCCTCAATTTTTTTTCTTCATAGAAATTTGCAATTGTTTATTTTTGCATTGCTGTTCTTTTTACTAATATATAAGCTTTATAAAAGCTAGCACTGTTTCTACTTTGTTTCACCATGTTATAACTAGTACCTGCATCAATGACTGGCACATAGTGCTTGATAAATATTTGTTCAGTGAATGCAGATATCCATATTAACTGTATGGCTTTCAATCTAATTCTAATGCATATTCAAAATCCCATCCCAACATGACAGCAAGGGGGCAGAATGTTTTTTTAAAAAAATAAAGACACTGGGCACGGGGTTGCAGTTCAGTGGTAGCACATTTGCCTGGCAAGTGTGAGGCACTGGGTTCGATTCTCAGCACCACATATAAATAAATAAAATAAAGGTCTATCAACAACTAAAAAAATAAAAATAAAGACACTGAATTTGAGGAAGGAAACCTAGGACTGTGATCTGCTGACCTACAAAAACAGAAGGTAATATTACTTAATCTTTAATGTACTTTCCACCTTGAAGAAAGTTTAAGGCTGCCAATCAAACTGAGATTTCCAAGAGACCTCTAAACACCTGAGGCTCTATCAAGCATCCTCTGATTACATTGTTCAGTCACGTTGCCACCTGCTGGTCACAGCCATTGTCACATTTGGGGGGAATGATCCCTTAATACCAAAAGAAGGAGCTGCAACTGGCAACTGTGCATTTGACATGAATATCTCATTTATTTCTCCCAGTGGCTCTATTAAATAAATACTGCCGCAGTCTGGCTGGGCACAATCAGGAGCCACTTGTCAAAAGAAA